CCATCTTTTCCTTTATATTCCATCCAGGCTACAAGCCTGTTGATTGGTGCCATTCATACCAAGGGTGGGCATTCCTATTATCCACACCCAGAATCATGCTAAGGTATCCAATGGACTAATTTAGTTATCACATCCTGAGTCCAAATCCACACACCCTTAATTCATGTACACACATCCTAGATCCAGCCAGCTTTGAAAAATTCCATCTATGAGCACATGAGGCTTTGGGAGGACATCTAGATACAAGCCATAGCAGGGCCTTAATCTTAAATGTGATGATCACACTTCACATCATGGAGATTTGCTTGTTTATTCTACAACGTTTTTATAACTCAAGAGAAAACACCTGCATAAGTAGTGTCAGGAATCAGATGCATCCAGATACACCTGCATGAACCGAGGATCAGAGGCATTCAAGGCTGAACAAATGATTCGCTTGTGTAAAAGGATATTGATTTAAACAAAATATGCTCTGTAACAAAGGTGCTGATAGTCCTTATTAATATAAAACTAATATTTGACTTATAAGATCATGAGTGTAAAACTGTTGGTCAAAAGACAAATCAGTAGACAGGGTTCTGAAGTATATATCACAAAGGCAATGGGAGTTGGAAATTTGCCATTTTTCTAGTATTTGAAACTGGGGAAATTTTTCCTGGACTGGATTCCTGAAAACAACCACATGCAATTCTGAAACAACACTATGGAAAAGAATGAAAGCGCCCCCTCAGACTGTTACAGCAAGCAGAGAGAAACTATAGGAAATTTATTGGACCACAGCTGAGAGTAAAAAACACCTTGAATTTCATCTTTAGAATCCCCATGTTGAGTCATTTATTTAGTTAGATTAAAATATTCTCCAATTCATTATTTATTCATCTTTTTATCTTGTTTTATTTTTTTGTATTCCCACTTTGCTCCCACCCAGCATGGTCTCCATAGTTCCTCACCTTAATTTCTTCCTTAATCCTGTTTCTTTGATCAAACTTTCCATCGAGCCCTAACTCTAAGTAAATTGAGCTTTATCTTGTCACACCACCCACCCTAAGACAAATGGAGAAAATAAAAAAACCCTGAACCATACTGGTTTCTCTTTCAGTTCTTGACCACGAACCTAAAGGAGGCCCTTAGGGAAGGGCTTGTCTCTCTCTTTATTAATCTAACACTGCTTCTGCACTTCCTCCTACAACCAATTTATCTTGCTATTTCACTGGAAAAATACAATTATTCAGAAGAGACACTGCATCAGCAGCCACCACAACATCTTCCAACAAGGCCATGTGTTGGTTACACTGAATCGGCTGCCTGTGCTCCTTCCTAGGGTCAAGCCCTTAACCTCTGTGTTCAGCCTTCAAGGTCATCAGAGCAGCCCCTGAACTTCCCGCTTCTGTTCCACCACCTTCCTCTCAACAGGACATATTCAATGATCACCAGCACATGTGACTGTTTGTATCTACATTAACTATAATTAAAGAAAACAAACAGTTAAGTTCCACAGTCACATTGGTCTAATTGGCTTACCTACTTCTTCTAATTTCAGTTAGAAATGGATGCATTCTGATGAATGAAAGGCTCTGCTAAAGTATCCATCCTATCATGTTCAGGTGCTCAATAGCCACATGTGCCTTGCGGTTTCTCTAGGAAAGCACAGTTACAGATGACATTTCTGTATTGCAGTTTCCTTGGACAATGCTGGTCTACATCATTCGTGATGCATACAGCCTTCTGTAGTCTTGTATCTTAAAAAATCATAAATAGAATCAGAACTCTCCTCTGGTCTCTTTTCCTCCTCTGGGCACTACTCTACCCCTCTACCACCACTTGCACTATAATCCTTCACAAAATGTCTACACTGGTTTTTCTTGGCTTTATTTTTTCCCTTTAATCTCACTTCATTAAGTCATTCTTCCTCACTATTCCATGTAAACAACTTCTGTCAAAGTCACCCAGAGCTTTTTGCAAATTCCAGTGATCAATATCAGTCTCATACTACTCAACCTGAAAATCACTGGACACAGTTCATCTGAATGCAGTTGTCCTTCCTGGATTTCCAGGACAGTGCCTGATTCCCTCTCCGCCGATGGCACTCTGATCCTGCTCAGTCTCCATGGTGTGTCCACTTAACCCGTTCCAGCACCCTGTCTTCTAACCCTTCTCTTCTCTCACTGTCACTCTCCTAATAATATTGCTCAGTTCCATGGCTTTGAATACCACCCTTACACCAAAAAATAAAAAGGTTATCCAGTTGAGAATTTCTGGATCAGACCTCATCCCAAATGCCACCCTCTGTACCCACTTGCCTCTCACGGTGCCCATTTGAATGCCCAGCAGGCCTCTCCTCTTGGGTGTCCCCAGCTAGACTCTATACCCAGCCACATTCTGTCTTACGTCTCCCCCGTTTAGTGAATTCCAGTCCTTTCTTTGTGTCGCTCAACCTACATCTTGGTCTCTGTCATGACTCTTCCTTTGTCTCACAGGCACATCCAATCATGTGGCAACTCAGATCCATTCTTTATCTAGTTTATATCTAACGCCTCATGACTTCCTAACTCTTCCTTCGCAACTGTAAATGTTTAGGCCACCATTCTCTCCTACCTGAAGTATTGCAGAGTCCAAATTGGTCTAATTGGTTTACCTACTTCTTCTAATTTCAATTAGAAATGCATTCATTCTGATGAATGAAAGGCTCTGCTAAAGTATCCACCCTATCGTGCTACCGCTGAGCTCAGCTTCCTGTCTCACCAAGATAGAAGATGGTAGTCTCCATAGAGTGGCCTCCGAGTCCCTTCATGCCTTCCACATGACCATGGCACTCGCCTTCCTCTCTGACTCCTCTGCTGCCTCTCCTCCTTGAGCTGTGTTCTGCTGCACAGCCCCTAGCTGATTGGCACACGGTCCACAGCCCCAGTCTTTCGCTGCTCAATCTTTACTGCCTGTTTTTTGTGTCTGTACTAAAACACGCTCCTGACCGTACTACAAAAACAACCACCCCAGCATTCACTCTGCTTGTGTTACCTCCCCATTGAGTTTGAATTACTAATGTGCTCACTCCACTAGCATTTTATTTCTTTACAAATTAATCAGTGAAACCATCAAGTTTAAATACACATTTTACAAGGAAGTAGCAAATGAGGCTGTCATGGAAACGCTAGGCCTCCTCACTGTCCCCCTGGCCTTCCTCCTCTGGTCATTCTAAACCAGCTCTGATCTCTCATTCCTGACCCTACATTGTTTTTCATTTTAGTGTCCACACTCAGACTTCCAGGCTTTTGTTTCTATTTGCTTCTTGTATTGAGTAACTGCTCAATTACTAACTAAGTTCACATGTAAAGTTACTAGAAGCAGGCACAAGCCTCTGCCTCCTTCACTGTGTGCATCTGCTCCCCAGTTCATAGAACACAATACATAGTATTTGCTTATAAATCATTTCCCTTTCTTTCTATCTCTACTACAATAGGGTATTATAATGGTCTCCATTAAATCATGTGCACAGAGATTGTGTTGCTTCTGCATTTCATTCTTGGATAGCAGGAAATGATGCAGAATGTTAAAATAAAGAGAAGCTTAGATCTTAAAGTTCTAGAAAAACAATGTTACCCAACTCCTTCATCAAGCATAAGAGAAAATAAAATTCCCAAAAAATGATGCTGGACACAGGCAGGACTGATGTTGAGATGTGAAGTGACTTCTACTCACTTTTCTCTTTTTTCTTTTTCTACAATGGTCTGCTTCAATATAATCCAGATTCTGAAAGCATTCATAGAACTACTTTGTTAAATTATATTCCTTGTCCAAGAATTTTTCTTTGAGAAAAATTTCAATCCTTATTGAATTCTCTGAAATCATTTCAATTCTTTCTCTTTGTACAGAAGTCTATAATTAAACAGACTTGGTCTTTTATAAAAATAAGGATGCCAGCTCACAAATACAGCTTTCCAAAGGGCCCTGGCACATTGTCCTATTGCTACACTATTCATTTTAAAATCTGGCTTCTGCTGAATGCTTAGTGAAGTTACCCCACAGACCATCTTGTATTTCAGAACCACATATACACAGAATGCGCATGTGGTAAAAACATCTTCAGAAGGAGTGGCACGTGAGCTGAGTCAGAAAAACATAAAAAGTTCAGCTAACAGAAAAGCAAGAAGGCCTGTCTTTCTGGGGGAAGACAGCGATGCATTTAAAGCACAGAGGTAAAGTAAGATACATGTGGAGGAAGTCGGTCTGTCTTGATGAGACAATGGGTCATAAACAGGAATAATGACCTACTTAGGAAAGAAAGGATTGGGCTCTGACTATCTCCGCGGAGCAACTCAAGATTGCAGACATAAAACATTGGTTAGAGAGAGCCACAGAACAGCCTATTTTCAATTTTAGCAGATAAGTATGACATTGCTCACCAAACAAAAGTTACAGACTAAGCCCTAGCTGCAGGTTAAGATGTATTTTACTTACTAAGAATGGCCTTGGTGGATCCCGTGCAATTCTTGGTACCACTTCAAATGGTGTGAAATAAGCATTTATGCAGATGATGGCAAAGGAATATTTGCATTTCGCCTCATGTGAACCTGTAATTATTTGCTTATCATCAGGTGGACTGTGTGTTGTGTCTGTGCTCAGAAACATGAGTGTTCCCATAGGTGCTTGTGCTCTGTTGGCAAATGTAACATCAATTGCTAACGGGTGAACCAGTTTTCCCATGTCACATTCCAATTAGTTTGGGTGATGTGAGCAACAAGTCTATTCACAACATCATTTGATTTATTACTATACGAACAAGGACATGATGTCTGAGCTCCAGGGCAAATGTCTACGATAAAAGAATAATAAATCTTCTCATCTACAAGGGCATATACTTTTCTGCCATATTTCAAACCATCACTTTCCCATAAGTCTTTTCCTGCTGTCACCCAGAGAGATCTGTGCTGAGTACAGCAGACCTATGAATGCTTTCAGTTCAGCTAGTGAGGTGTCATAACAAATACACTTTTGAATACAGCTATTGGTGCACACAAAATGTTTAATCTGCATTTAGCCTTTGTGTATTTCACAGCATCTTGTAGCATTTTGTCTATTACAGGTTTCAAGATTGAATGCCAGTGCTTCACCCTGTCCAATAGGTCTCACCCCAGCCAAGACCTTCACTCTATTTTTGTACCTCATTCTAACACTGGATTTTTCCACTTGGTTGTATGGTCATTTTGCAACCTTTCCACTAGTCTAATATGTAACCAAATTGCTGTTTTCTTCATCATTTGTATCTTGGAGGTCTGCATTTCCTGTGTCTTTGTCAGTCCAATCTTGTTCCACTTTAGTTCCACAGGAATTTAGCTCACGTGGCCAGTGTCAAAGTCATCATCATCCACCCACTCCACTCTTTGTTATGAAAGCAAGTATTTTACCATAGTGGATCATCTTCACTATCCATGTATGAGTCATCTAGTGATTCACTTTTGACCTCCTCCAAAATTACAAATCTGGTATTTAACGTGCCATTGTTCTGAATTCAGCTACTTATACCTGAAAAATGAAAAGAAAACTTCCTTGTAACAAATCTTGGAGGGGTGTGGGTCTATTGAACCCTCTGTGATGCTCGGGTAAACATATGCAAAACCAGTTGAATGGAGACTAGAAGTGGGTCCAAACCCCATTTTGACACTTTTGCACATGTTTGCACTCCTTGGTGTTCATTATACCAAGTGAGTAAACATGTAGATTGCTTTCTGCATCCCTCAGGGAAGTTGTACTGAAATGCAGTCCTGGCTATGTAATTCTAAAGTACAAATTGGCAGTAGAAAAGTGAGGGATGGGTCTGCTTGACCAAGGCCTAATAAAGTAACCCATGGTGCGAGGGGAAGAGACTGGAGGAGAGCCCAGAGAAAGGTCTGGTAAAGGTCAGAACCCCAGGACTCAGTGTTGAGGTGCTGACATTTCACTTGAGGCACTAGCCGGGCCACTTTGCACCAGCCTTCCCGAGCTGTCTAGCTTTCAGATAGGAACTCTGGAGTCCTGATGGCCCAGAGTTGTTGATGCTGATGTTGCTTTGTGGAGCCACAGATGATGGTCAGCACACCTCCCTGCCAGGCTCTGTGGCTGTGTTAATTTGTCCTTGCAACATTCTCTCCTGCACCCCATGGGCACCTCAGAATCAGCATTCTGAGTGGAAAGCCATCAGCAGCAGGAAGAGCCTTTAAGATTATTTTTGTTTCTGCTTGGGATTGAGTTCACATAGCCTAAAAGGAAACGGACACGCTTTTAACACATAACACCATTGTTCATCTAGCGGCATGAAATTGCCAGGTACTTAGTATGTGCCCACTTCCTTCCCACAAGCTCCCTTTTTCCTTCATTCCTGTGATGGGGCTGGGAGGCTGTCGGAGAGGAAGGGCTGATGGTAAAGCCAAAAGAAAGGAAACGGCTAGAAGTGCTGAGCAAAGGGTGGAAAGCACACACAGGCTTGGGGTAGAGGGCAAAGGATGAAGAAGGGGTGTGGGATTCCACAGCCACCTTCCAAAGGGGTCCCACTGTGTGAGCTGACATTGACAACCATCACTGTGCAAGAAATTGAGCAGCAGGGCTGGGGATTTAGCTCAGCGGCAAAGCGCTTGCCTGGCAAGCGCAAGGTCGTGAGTTTGGTTCCTGGTACCAGAGGAAAAAAAAAAAAAAAAGAAATTGAGCAGCCACAGGGCCGGAGTATGGCCCAGAAGGCACTCCGTACTGCCCAGCCTTTTCCACTGTATATCTGCATAATTATTTTCAGGTATGTGTCAGACTGGCACTTAGGTCACGTGGGGCAAGGACTGTGCTCCTCCTCTTGCCTTCAGAAAGGATGCAGTTCTGGAGCCTCTGTGTATGGTCTGTTGCAACTCCCAACTCTGCAAGAGTCCCCTGAGCATCAGGTGTCTAAACAAGGAGCCGAGAGTCGGGTAATTCTGAGGTGGGACAGAAAAGGTAGACAAAAAGGAGACAAGGAAAATTATAATTTTAAAATGAGAAAACCTTCAGTTTGGGGACAGAAGCTCAGTTTAATTTTTTCTTTTCTCTTTTCCCAAAACACAGGTAGGCCTGAGCAATTCCCTTTCACCTACAAATGGGTTAGGCCATTCCCTTGAACTTGGATGTGGTCAAGTTTCACCTGTGAAGAGATCACCTTTCACCTGTAAATTGGGCTTTCTCCTATGACTAGACCAGGGTCATCCTCCTTCACTCATCAAGGCCGGGGCTATAGATTGTCCAGTTCCATAGATTTCCAAGCCCCAAACGCATAAAAATCCCCAATTCCAAACTATAGTCTGTCTGTGTGTCTCTCTTTCCCACACTACACTCTTGAGTGGGCGCTAAATTTCTGCCTAATAAGCACTTCTTGTGCCTTTTACTGGTGATGTGTCCTAAAAATTCTTTTTCCACCACAGTAGTCAGTGAACCTCCAAACTTCCCTCCATATTTAGGGAAGGTTAAATTCTTCCTCTCAGCTTCGTTTCAGCTTTCTACTGTGTCCCACTATGTGGGAGCTTTCCTGCTCATAGGAGAGGCCCACAGCCTCCATCTCAGCCCTTCAAACTCCTCAGGCCCAGGTCGGTATCATTTTCTCTTGGGGAGACAGCCAGGAGGTAAAAGAAGCTTTGGGACACAACTTAGGCGTGACCAGCTGAAGCTCCTGGATTTTATTTTATTTTATTTTATTTCATTTTATTTTATTTCTTTCCCATTTCCCTCAACCTTTTGCCTTCGAAAGCACAGCTTCTTTTTTCCTCCTTTTTCTCTGTCCCTGTCTACAAGTTTCTGCAGGCTTGGTTTTTTTTTTTTTTCTCCTTTTCAGCAGTTGGAGGATCCCAAGTTCCTAGAAAATCAGTGCTTACATTTGAAAGGACTGAAAACAGGAAGCACTGACCACACCGCAGAGAGGGGAAGAGAAGCCAAGGAGGAGGCTCTCTGATTGAGGCAGACTGGGAAGGTGTGCCCTCAGGTCACCACACCCTGTTCCTGGGTCAGATGAAGCTAAAACTTGTTCCTCAGGAGTCAAATGGAAGGACAGACCCATCCAGTGTCTCCAGCAAGTCTTCTCAAACACCCAGCATGAGAAACCCACTTCTGAGACACTGCAGAGGGGACCAGGCTTTGGGGTGGCACCCAAGGGAGCAGCCTTCTTGAATCACCCACATCTTTGGTGCTAAACACTTTAGATAAAAGGAGAACTTCTAAACTGCTCTTTTCATTCTCTCTCTGCCCCTAAAAAAGCCTCAATCCCCATCTTATCCCTTCTCCTCTACCACTCCGAGGCTTTTGTCTATCGAAAACTCGAGTCCTCCAACCTTGCCTGATATTAGTGGTCAGGCTGAGGCAGAAAGCTGGAGGGTGGGAGGAGGCGGATCAGTGGGATCCAGGAGCTCAGGAAGATTTCTCATATTCAGGACCCTTCCTACTGTGTCCCACCATGTGGGAGCTTTCCTGCTCATAGGCGAGGCCCACAGCCTCCATCTCAGCCCTTCACAGCCATCTGCCATGACTTTCCAGGGGCACCTGTCCAGCACCACCTATAGGGTTTTTTGTTTTCTTTCTCTTTCTGTGACCTCGCAGAATTGTTCCTCTAAGGACAGCTTGCTTCCTTCCTCTACCTTATTTGGCTCTAGTACCTGTATTTCAGTGATAATTTATCTCCCTGTCTAAGATAGTAAGTGATTTGCAGTTGCTAGGTGACCTCTCCGGACCTCTTAAACCCTCGACAAGTTCCTTGTGCATGTTTCATGTCTGCAGATATAAAAAGCTTCAGGGTGAATTTTGAGTGAAGCCCGGCTGTTGTGTATGAGTCCCTTGTCCTGCTTTCTTGATCTGTAGATAAAAGTTGGAGTACTAGTTATGTTCCAGGAATATGGATGCTTATCCTGAGCATAAATAACAGATTTCTGCCTGACTAGCAGAGATACCTAGGCTACTCATGTCAGAAAATGGCACAGCTGCCAGCAGTGGGTGGCTCTGAGCCTGGGATAAGTTGTGCCCCTGGGCAGTTCCAACTCTGAGTAACAGGGCATGCTTCCACTTGGAAAAATCTGACACTGACATTCTGTCTTTTTTCTCCTTTGCTTCCCACCCCCATTTCTTTCCTCTCTGTACCTGTTTTCAAAAGTACACAAGCATGATCTCAAAGGCACGTAGTGCCTCCTCACTAATTATGGGTAAACTCAATGTCTATCCCCCAAACATTCATCACTTTTAGGCTAAATTTTTTGAACTTAGGATCAATTTAAGATGGAGAAGTATAGAAAATTGATTTTTCTTTATTCCTCTAAATGTAAATTCCTCTTTTTAAGGAGTAAAAAGACAAGACCTCAAGCTTGGTTTTATTTATTTATTTATTTATTTATTTATGGTACCGGGAATCAAACTCAGGAGGTTGCGCTTGCCAGGCAGGAGCTTGTGCTGCTGTGCTACATCCCCAGTCCCCAAGCTTGGTTTTATAATGAGGGAAAATAAGCAAAGATTCCATCTAGCAATCTGCAGCCTTTCTCCTCCTTGTCCCTGACTCTTACTCCTTATAAATATATAATGTGAAGTAACAGGAAAAGGTACTCAGAGGAGCTTAGAGAATTAAAAATATTTTTATGACTTACAAGAGAAAAAAAGAACTGCTAATTGATAGCAGGTAGGGAAATTTTCTAATGGACTAATCTATAGTCATAAACCTAAAGCTAAGAAAATAACTGTAATTCATGGTTAATGTATCTAAAAGTGAACTATGAATTAATGTAATTATTTTATGTATCCTATTTGTTTTCTTTTCTGTTTGTCTGCTGTCAATATGTTTTAATAACTGGTTAAAGAACCTGCAGCTGCTTCATTAAAAACAATTTTAAGTGGCCAATGATATAGCTCAGTGGCACAGCACCTGCCTGGCAAGCACAAGGTCCTGAGTTCAATTCCTGACACGGAAAAACCAAAATAACAAAAAAAAAATATTAAGCATATATCAATTTCTTTTTCTTGTTGCCCTTATGGACTTATAGCTATGTTAGGGCTTTTGATAAAAAGTTTTATAAATATTCAAGGGTAACTAAGCTCACTTAAACCTTAGAGGGTAAAAACTGCTTGGCCTGAGGGTTACATAAAACTTACAAATAGATACTTAAAGTTTGATAGCATAAAGGTTAGGTATGATTTGGTTAATATGTACATTTCTGTGTGTTAACTTTCAGGTATATGTTATCCTGTAAAAGTTTAAATTGTTTTATAGATAAATGAACTCTCATATTAGCCCAAATGATTTTTATTCACATGGCTTAATAGAAAGCTAATTTACTTTGGTTGGTAAGATAAGAGTAAACATGTCCTTAAAGTTGGTGATGTTTTTATCCAGATTGTTAGCCAATCAAGATAGTATTTATCTTAAAAAGTGAGTTTTAAAAATGCAATGTCTATTGTTTTCTGTGCTTGATCATTTTTCTTGATTAAAGATATACAAATAAATATATATTATATATAAATATATATATATAATATATATATATATTGAGAGAGGAGAAGAG